CACAAATGTTGGAGAGGATGCGGAGAAAGGGGAACCCTCTTGCACTGTTGGTGGGAATGTGAACTGGTGCAGCCACTCTGGAAAACTGTGTGGAGGTTCCTCAAAGAGTTAAAAATAGATATGCCCTACGACCCAACAATTGCACTGCTGGGGATTTACCCCAAAGATGCAGATGCAGTGAAACGCCGGGACACCTGCACCCCGATGTTTCTAGCAGCAATGTCCACAATAGCCAAACTGTCTAAGGAGCTTCGGTGTCCATCGAAAGATGAATGGGTAAAGAAGATGTGGTCTATGTATACAATGGAATATTACTCAGCCATTAGAAACAAGAAATAGGGATCCCTGGGTGGCGCAGCGGTTTGGCGCATGCCTTTGGCCCAGGGCGCGATCCTGGAGACCCGGGATCGAATCCCACATCGGGCTCCCGGTGCATGGAGCCTGCTTCTCCCTCTGCCTATGTCTCTGCCTCTCTCTCTTTCTCTCTCTGTGACTATCATAAATAAATAAAAATTAAAAAAAAGAACTTTAGGAAACAAGAAATACCCAACTTTTTCTTCGACGTGGATGGAAGTGGAGGGTATTATGCTGAGTGAAATAAGTCAATTGGAGAAGGACAAACATTATATGGTCTCATTCATTTGGGGAATATAAAAAATAGTGAAAAGGAATAAAGGGGAAATGAGAAGAAATGAGTGGGAAATATCAGAAAGGGAGACAGAACATGAGAGACTCCTAACTCTGGGAAATGAACAAGGGGTGGTGGAAAGGGAGGTGGGTGGGGGTGACTAGGTGACGGGCACTGATGGGGGCACTTGACAGGATGAGCACTGGGTGTTATTCTGTATGTTAGTAAATTGAACACCAATAAAAAATAAATTTATTTAAAAAAATAAATCGCCACAACTGCCAAAAAAAATAAAAAATAAAAAATAAAAAATTAAATAGCAACAACAAAAAATAACCATTGGGAAACAAGGCCCATGATGGAAATCATTCACCTTTCATCAGTGACCAAGATGGTTCCTAAACCTGGGACTCAATTCTGAGTCTGGTATTCTCTATGTTAAAACATATTTTGATTTAGAGGTGCCACAATCCTGGGCTAAAATACTGTCTTCTGGTCCAGCTAAACACAGATTTCTCCATCCTTTTTTTCCTAGCTACACCTTCTGACACGGTGGTTGCAGGATAGGACAAAGATATTCTTCCCATTTAAACCCCTAACTTCAGTACCAAGAATAATTGAGAAATATGGAACCAGAAGATCACTAACAAAGCTTTACTTGGTTTGGCTGGATTGGGCAAGTTCTTAAAGCAGGGACATAACACTCCCTCTTCTAGATTGATGAATTCTTCTATTGGTGTCCTGAGCTTGTGCCCTGTAAGAAGAGGCCAAGATGTTTGGGAGTTGAGACCAGCGATCCTTCTAAGACTAAGGGACTCTCACTTGGCCAGTGTCTGAAAGAATGCTGAGAAGGTAATTTTGTTTCTTAGAGACTCAAGTCTATTAATCTAGAAAATGGGAATAATACTAATACCTCTACCCCATCTGAAAATCAAATCACATGTGAATGTACTTTGCTAAAGTTAATATGTGCATGTTAGCATTTGAATTTAATTCTGACTTTCAATGATATTTATTGAGCATGTACCATTGTGCTAGGTATTAGAGATATATCAGTAAATTAACAAGTAAAATCCCCTACCCTTCATGGAATTTACATTCTAGTGGGGAGAAGAACAGTAAAGAAAACATATAAGCAAAACATGTAATATGTCAGATAGCAAAAAGTAAAATAGAGGAAAATAAAGCAGGAAAGAGGGGGAGACAGTCAATTTTAAGTAGAAAAGTCAGGGAAGATATCAAGGAGAAGGTGATATATGAGTAAAGACATGAAAGAGGTGAAGATTGGAGCCATGAAGATATATGGGGCAGGACTGTTCTAGACAGAAAAACCAATGCAAAATCTGTGGTGAGGGGCATGCCAGACATTTTTTACAAACAGCAAGAGGCCACGACTATTTGGAGTGGGGACAGAATGTGGGAAAGGTGAAGGAAATGAAGTCATAGAGGTAAGAATAGGTTGATTACACAGAACTTTGTAAATAATAGTAAGTATTTGGCTCTTTTTTTTTTTTAAGAATTTGGCTCTTATTCAAGGAGAGATTGTTAGCCATCAGATGGTTTTGAGCAGAGGAGTGATATGACCCAACTTAGATCTTTTTTTGTTTTCCAACTTAGATCTTGATAGCAACCCTCAGCTGCAAGGTAAAGAACAGACTATACTTATATTATAGACCTTATGACATTATAAGACACCTACCATTTTACAGTAGTGCTACTCAAACTTTAATATATAATATAAGTCAAATAGGAACCGTGTTAAAATGCAGAATTGTACTTATTAAATCTGGAGTGGAGCTAAAGATCCTGAATTTCTAACAAACTCTCAGGTGATTCAGATGCTAGGCCAGAGCAGAACACTTTGAGGGTAGGAGCTATGTCCAATGCTGGCATGGAGCTTGACAACTCTATTATATGTTTGCTGAATGAATGACATTAGTCGTTTGATGTCCAATGCCACATAGCACATTTCAGAGGGTAATATTTAGCCATTTGTATGGAGGTAAGGAAGAGGAAAAGATAAAGAGAGACATGGATGGATGGGTGAATAGATGAAAAAGGAAAAAAAGGAAAACTAACTTTTTACAAATATATTTACTTAATTTCATTAACAAACTTAAGAGTTTGGTATACTGAAGCCCACTGGACAAAATAGAAAAATCAAAATTTAGAGGAGTTAAGGGGCAAGTTCAAGGCCACAGTGTGCCTACGTGACTAAGTCAGCATTCCACATACCTACAGCCCTTGTTTTTTCCACTCTACTTTATTGCCTCATGGATGGGGTAGTGGGGATAATGTTTAACCTTCCTGGAAGGGATGAAAAAATGAGTTGAGGTAAAGAAAGTTAAGGCCCATAATCCTTGGCCTTGGTCTTTCTAGATCTGCACTGTCCAACGTGGGTGCCATTTAGTCACATGTCTATTAAATTTAAAATTCCATTTCTCTTATATTCCACATATGAGTGAAACCATATTATAATTGTCTTTCTCTGACTGACTTATTTCACTTAGCATAATATCCTCCAGTTTCATCCACACTGATGTAAATGGTAAGTATTCATCCTTTCTGATGGCTGAGTACTATTCCATTGTGTGTGTGTGTGTGTGTGTGTGTGTGTATGTATATATATCTCCATCATCTGTCGATGGACATCTCAGCTTCTTCCTTTTTTTATTATTTTTTTTTCTTGGCTCTTTCCATAGTTTGGCTTTTGTGGACATTGTTGCTATGAACATTGGGGTGCAGGTGCCCCTTTGGATCACATTTGTATCTTTGGGGTAAATATCTAGTAGTGCAATTGCTGGGTTATAGAGTAGCTCTATTTTTAACTTCTTGAGGAATTTCCATACTGTTTTCCAGAGTAGCTGTACCAGGTTGCATTCTCATAGGGGAAGGGAGGGAAAACTGAATGGGAAGTCATCAGAGAGAAAGACAAACCATGAGAGACTTTTAACTATAGGAAACAAATTGAAGGTTGCTGGAAGAAAGGTGGGTGGGGGAATGTGGTAATTGGATGAGGGACATTAAGGAAGGCATGTGATGTGATGTGCACTGTTATATCCAGCTGATAAATTATTGGACACTACATCTGAAAATACTGATGTACTATATGTTGGCTAATTGAACTCAAATTAAAAAAATAAAAACAAAAAAAACTCCATCCCATTTTTCAATCATACTAGCCATATCTCAACCACTCAGTAACCACAGATGGCTGGCTAGTGGCTACTCTGTTGGAGAATGCAGATGTACTTTATCACTATAGGAAGTTCTATTGGGTAACAATATTCTAAAGAAACAAGAACTTTAAAAAGTTTTAAAGCTATACTATTGATTCCAGAGTGGGCCCTGGCTTCAATAGCACTTAAAGAACAGAAAGTAGGACCTGACCCCTCATCTGGAAAAAATATAAACATATTCAAAGTAGAGTTTTCTCTGAGTCAAGTAGAATGCTAGTGTGTGTGTGTGTGTGTGTGTGTGTGTGTAAGAGGGAGAGAGAGAGAGAGAGAAAGAATCTTTTAGAAACATGCTTTCTGCTATTTCCCATTGGTATTCCCATGTTATTGTTTAGTAAAATGCCTTTTGAAAATGTCAACTAGTCCCATGAGCTCAAGAGAGAATGAGAAAAAGGGCTCTCTCCTTACTCAGGATAGAGACATGGAAGAGATGGAGTTAGGGAATGTGGAGCCACAGCTCCTGGGGAGCTAAGTGGCATATACTGAAGGAGCTTAGAATTGTCCACTCAGTCTTTATCTCCTATAGATTCCTCCCCTAAGCTCTTTTCTGCTCAAACCTAAAACCAGTGTTCTTCAAGTGAAAGAAGATAGACCAATAACATCAGTTTCACCAGGAATGCCTGTTAAATATAGAGATGCCTGTAGTTTACCCAGACTGAGATTTCACAACTTTGGGAGGCAGAAGGGGCTGGAATTTGTATGTTTAACAAGCCACTCCAGGAACTTTAGTGCACATTCAAGTTTGTGAACCACAAGCTGTAGGAAGAAGTGATTTGCTTTAATGAATGAGGTCAGGCCTTTACATGGTGTGGTAACAACCAAATCAGAAGCCAATAGGATAAGGGTAGAGATTCAAGGAAGAAAAGATGGGGGATGGAATCAGGGAGAGATAGAGAGAGAAGGAATATAAAAATGAAAGAGAAAAGTTAAGGAAAGAGAGAAACTGATATAAGGACTGAGAAGCTCCAACGGAGCTGTTTCACCCACTTAGCAGAATGTAGGAGGCCAGTCCAGCTGCTCTTTCCAATATCTTGGGATTGTCACAGGTACAGCTCAGGAGAGTTGTTGGTTCTTCATGAAAATGCCCTCTACCCCACCCTGGATACCCCCACATATACTATCACAGCTGGGCCTACCTCACAAATGTCCTTGAGGTGCTTGATGTAATGACGTTCAGTGCTCATGATCTCATTGATGACATTGGCTCGCATCTGGTCCCGGTTCTGTAGTGGCCGGCCCAGACAGAGGCAGTCTGAGTTGGGGTCCAGGTGCCCATTCTGCACATCACTGGGCCCTTCCTCCACCCCATCCTCCTGGTTCACCCAGAGCTGTGGAAGCAGGCAAAAGAATAATAATAGAGTAGTTTTCTTCTTTGAAAATTTTCTAGTCAAGTAGAAAAATGATAAACTAAATTCTTCAAGTATTCAGAGAACATTCAACCAGAGGCCCCTGTAAATTGAATGCCAGGCTTGGCTTTAGGGTGACTTGCTGGCTTTATGCAGGAATTTAATCTTCTCTAGGCCTCTCATGACATATCTGTAAAATGGAGGATGGAGAAGGATACAACTAAATCATATCTGAGAGGCTAAGATGTCTAAGATTTCAGAGAAGAGTTATGGCAAACAGAACTCATTCATGCTTGAACATATCTAGGTAGCCCAGCTACATCAAAAAGAAAAAAAGACTAAGCTATATATCTTGGGTATATGTCACAGCTGGATCAAACACAACACCTATGAGCATGGAGACCAAAGTTGAATACTGGTGTGAGTATCCTGAAAACAGGACCTTCAGTGTTTATTTACATCAAAATATGTACAAATAATTATTAAAATTTTACTATAAAATGCCTCGGGTATGTAATGATCTCTACATCTACAAAGTTGGAGTAAAGATGACAGAATATTTCCATACCACATAACAGCAACAGCTGATTGAACACTTAATATAGCAACCGCTATGCCAAGAGCTTTCAATGAACTGTATTACTCAGTCCTGCTAGGCATGTACCATTATTACCTCTATTTGATGTAAGAGAATAATGAGGCTCAGAAAAATTAAGGAATTTGTCCCAAGTCACTCAGTTAGGAAAGCAGAAGAACCAGGATAGGAACCAGGTGGTCTGACTTCAAAGCCTACGTCTTAACCACTGTACTAGCATCTTTATACCTCTGGTTCTAAGGAAAACAGGAAAAGAGTAAAGAAGGGCTTGGGCTTAGGTGAGCTGAGAATTATCAAAATCATTAGAAATGGGTGCAGTTGGTAAATGTTGAAACTATACATTCTAACACATAAAGGCAAAGGGATGCAGGAAAACGTCCTTTGGGGAGGCTGAGTGAGATGTTTCTGTATCTATAATGATGGCTTACATCAGGAAGATGGCTCATTTCACCCTGGTCCTAGGAAGGAGGAAGGAGAGAGGGTCAGGAAAAAAAGGAAGGGTGGAACCTTAGGAAGAGTGGTAAAATCTGCCAGGGGAATTAGCCAAAGAGCTAAAGAGTTGTCTAACAGTTTTAATCAACAATCCATCTTTCCCTTCCATACCCACCCCCAGCTTTTTCCATTTTCCTGCCTCAAGAAGCTGAGATCAATCAATTTAGATGCAACACTATTTTTGCCATCAGAAAGGCCTGTTGGTGAGTGGCCTTAGGAGGTCAGAGGCTTTGGGATGGAGCTAAAGGAACAGTAGTTATTTCTCAACTCTGTGTATTCTCCCCTCTTTTTGCTTCACAGAGGATGAGGGGTATGGTTATCACCCAACAAACCTAGAAATGTCACCAGCAATATAGTCTACTTATTTGCCACAGGCCAAAGCAATTAGGTCTCATCTCTTTTTAATAAATTTTCATACACAGCCAAATGTGCAAAAATCCATCTCCATTCAGAACCTATCATCCTCCAAATGTTCTATTGGAAATCTCTTTCCATCTTTCAAAGGTCAACTTTGTGTCTTCAATATGTTAACAGTTGCTCTTTAATACCAGCAATAGACAATGATAAGGGATGATTAATCAAGGAACAGATCTGTTCAAAAAGGTGATTCTAAGGCATTGAAGGAAGCATAACATATACATGATGTCATATATGTGAAACAATGAAGGCCTCATCCTGTAATAATTCATTAGCTTTTCCCAGATTTTCATATAGCAAGCTAAACTTTGCTATAAAAAGGGTTCCATAGGCAAGTCTTTAAGAGATTTAAAATGAAACAAAACATTTATTTTTTTCTCAGGAGTTTAAGACGAGTCAATTCAAAATACTGGCTTTTGGATAACTGGAATGAGATGACTCTCTGGAACAGTTCCAGTAGGAAGGAGCACAAGATATCTGTGGGGGTAGGGTCCAGACAGGCAATGTCTAGAGCGTGGCAAGTTGGAAGACATTCCAGGAAATCCTCTCAGAGTACTTGAAGACTATTTTCTTCAGCCTTTATTGAACTCAAAGCAAAGCTGGGTTAATGTAACTCAATTGAACAAAAACCTATTTTGTATCTATTCTTTACTTCACCTCTATTAGAGACACAAGGATGAGCTATTAACACCTCCCACCTCTCTCCTGCCTCATTGGTTCCAGGGAGTCCTTTCCAAATCAAAGAATATCTCTGGTTCTCATCTCTTCCTATTCCATTCTCATTGTCATGGCCTCCACTCCCTAGATGATTCCCATAGGTTATCTCCCAGCTCTAATTACCTCCCGTATACCACTATCAGGCCAATTTCCTTGACTATAACTTTTTTTAAAAAAGATTTATTTATTTATTTATTTATTTATTTATTTATTTATTTATTTATGATAGACAGACAGAGAGAGAGAGAGAGGCAGAGACACAGGAGGAGGGAGAAACAGGCTCCATGCCAGGAGCCCAACGTGGGACTCGATCCCGGGACTCCAGGATCACGCCCTGGGCCAAAGGCAGGCGTTAAACCACTGAGCCACCCAGGGATCCCCTTGGCTATAACTTTGATGGCTACTCTCACACTCCAAAATCCTCAATAGTTACCCATTACCAAGTCCAAATCTTTTACCCTGAAATTCAAACATTACCATAATCTGGCTTCAATTTGCATTTCCATCCTTAGTTTCTACTCTGTCCTTCAGGAATACTTGGTTTCTCCCAAACTGGTCTATTTTCTGTCGACAAATATTCCCAACTATGGTCTTTTTAATCCCACACTTGATCATGCAAAAAATAGAGTACAGAGAATTTCAACCACTTCAGCAAAAATGAACCAACATTTCAACTTCCTGATGAAGAAACCTGGGCACATACAGGAAAAATAATGCCAGGGAATTACCAACCTACCAAGATCCCCATTTTAATATACTTTTCTATTTTTTATGTATCTTCCTTTTTTCTATTTTTTATGTTACATAATAGATACAGGAATACTTTTGCTTTGTAAAAAGTGAAAACAGAGAAAAAGGAGAAGACTCAAATTATTACAATTAGGAATAAAAGAGTAAATACTACTGCCAGTCTAACAAAATTTTTAAAAAGGATTAAAGAGGGCAGCCTGGGTGGCTCAGCGGTTTAGCGCCACCTTCAGCCCAGGATATGATCCTGGAGACCCGGGGTCGAGTCCCACGTCAGGCTCACTACATGGAGCCTGCTTCTCCCTCTGCCTGTGTCTCTGCCTCTCTCTCTCTCATAAATAAATAAAATATTTTTTTAAAATAAAAAGGATTAAAGAGAATGCTATGCACAATGGTATGTCAAAATTAGATAACCCAATGAAATCAGTAAATTCCTAGAATCATAAAAACTACAGAAAATAATTGAAGAAGAAATAGCCAACCTGAATAGACCTATGGCAAGTAAAGACTAATTAAAAACTTCTTCCATGGGAAAAAGAAAATAAAAAGCCAGGATCAGTTGGCATGACTCACGAAGTCCACCAAACATTTAAAGAATCAATCTTTCACAAACTTTCAAAAAATAGAAATGCAGAAATTCTCAATAAAATATCTGCAAACCAAATCCAGTAAGATATATATTTTTTAAAAAATCCACCTTACCAGATGGAATTCATGCCAAGAATGCAAGATTGGTTCAACATATGAGAATCAGTCAATGTAATATATAATTATTAATGCAAAAAAGGTTTGAAAAACCATAATCATTTCAATAGACAAAAAAAAGCATTTGGCAAAATCCAATACCTTCTCATGGTTAAAAAAAAATAGAAAACACTCAATAAATTAGGAATAGGAAGAAAGTTTCTCAAATAGCTGATAGAAATTTATGGAACATCCTTAATTAATGTATAATTAATGGTAAAAGACTCAATGCTTTCATCCTACAATCAAGAACAAAGATCACTTCCATGCAACATCTATACTGAGGGCTAGCACAATTGGAGAAAAAAGCATTCAGAAAAGAAAAATTAACACTATTCACATATGACATGATTTTATATATATATATATATATATATAAAATCATATATATATATTCCTAAAGAACACGTACACAGAAATATACACACAAATCCTATTATAATTAATAAATGAATTCAGCAATGTTACAGGATACAAAATCAATATACAAAAGTCAATTGTTTTTCTGAAAATAAAATTAAGAAAACAATCCCAATTAAGTAGCATCACAAAGAAAAAATTCCTCAAGATTACATTTTACAAGAGAAGTGTAAGACTTGTACACTGAACATTGCAAAACAGTGTTGAAAGAAAGTAAATAAGACCTAACTAAATAAAAAGATGTCTCATGTTCATGGATTAAAAAATTTAATATAGTTAAGATGGTATTATTATGCAAACTGATTCAGATTAAACATAATCCCTATCAAACCTCTCAGCTTGCAGAAATTAACATGATGATTCTAAACGTCATACTGAAATTCAAAAGACCCCGAATAACCAAAACAATTTTGAAAAAAAACAAAGTTGGAGGACTCACACTTCTTGATTCCAAAACTTACTATTAGTCTTTAGTAACCAAGGGAATGTAGTAGTGGCACAAGAACAGATATAAAGATCAACGAAATAAATGAGAGTACAGAAATACTCAATATTTACACTAAATTGATATTTTTCAAAGGTGTCAAAACAATTCAAAGGGGAACCTTACAGTCTTTTCAATAAATGGTGTGTGGGGAAAACTGGATATCCACATGCAAAAGAATAAACTTGGACCCATACCTCACACTATATATGAAAATTAACTCAAAATGGATTAAAGACCTAAATGTAAAAGCTAAAATCATAAAATATGTCAGAGTAAACACAGAAGCATATTTTTGTGACCTTGGATTAGGCAATAGTTTCTTGCATATGACACCTGAAACACAAGCAACCAAAGGAAAACAAT